GGGTGTTTAACTGTTTCTATCGGATTTGAACCAGCTTCCAAAACCATCTCGCTAAATAAAGATGGAAAGAAATTGTTTTCTAACGTTGTATTTGTTTGTGGTACACGATTTTCATTGGGAGTTCCATCTTTAATTTTGAAATCACATCTGAAATAAGCATCTTAAAGAAGCAACCAATTCGATAATGAATTAATTTCGAAGGTAATCTACCACCATCATTCAATTGGGATTTAGAACCAACAGTTGTTGAGATGATAATATAATCCTCTTTTTTTCGAATCGGATCGTATAATTTATAGATTGGGTCTAGTATTTTATTTGCCATTTTTAAGGTTTAAAAATTGAGTAGAAAATTGTGATCTGTTTTTCAATTTGAGTTAATTTTAATAATGATATGTAGGGTGAATAGGTTCTTTTTTTGGGTGGGGGTTGATGGAATGTAGGAATTGATTGAAGGTGTTTTGGTGTAAGAATTTATGAAATGTAGGGTGTTTAGGTTTTTTTTTGGTGTAGGAATTTATGGAATGTAGGGTGTTTAGGTTTTTTTTTTGGGACCTTTCAATATGGTCGCACTTTCCACCTGGAATGGGGAATCCCTTTGCGACCATATTGAATGGTCTAGTACTACTGACAGTTTACCACGATGAAATATGCCAACTTTGGACTTATTAACATTACTTTCAAGATTCCACGAGCGACAACACTGACTAAATTTATCTAAAAGTGTTTGGAGTACTAAAACAGAGTTTGCAAAAAGTGCCGTGTTATCAGCGAAAAGCATAAATAAACCAATAAATCACAAATTTTTACATAATGAGAATTGTCATTATCATGGAGATCGTTGATAAATATCAGGAAAAGCAGTGGTTACTGAAAAATTGATTCGCCAAAGAACCGTTGAACCTCTCAATTGAATTTATATCTTGAAATATGGATTTGGCATTTTTATAATTTTACAACTGACTCCCAGGGAACTCAATTAAAGTAAAAGAAGTTTTATGTTAAAATAGTCGAAAGCCTTTTGATACGCCCACATAAAATGGGTGGTCCATCCGTCCACAATTGATCGTAAACAGTCTACAAGGCACAATTCTTGATTTATTTCAACGAAACCTGGTATGGTTGTTTGTGATCACCCAAGGATGAACCCTATTGAAAATCAGAAAAAAATCGAAACATATTTAGTATGAGTAATTGCCCTTGTTCGTAACACTCAGGCGCAATTCTTGACGGATTTTAAAGAAACTTGGTATGATTATTTGTTATCACCCAAGGATGAACCCTACTTAAAATCGTTAAGATAAAAAAAATAATTAGTATGAGTTATTGCCCTTGTTCTTGAAAACGCGTTCAATTTTAGAATGTTAACACTCTAGAAGGCACAATTCTAGACGGATTTGGACGAAACTTGATGTGAGTGCCTTCAATCACCCAAGGATAAACCCTATCGAAAATCAAAAAAATTGAAAAATATTTAGCCCTTGTTCATGAAACCGAGTCTTAGTAATCACCCAAGGATGAACTCTGTAGAAAGTCCGAATAATCGAAAAATAATTAATATAAATTACTGCCCTTGTTTTTGAAAACTGTGTAATTTTTGGCTCGTAAACGCTCTAGAAGGTACAATTATTGGCAGATTGTGACGAAACTTTGTGTGAGTGTTTGTTGTCACATATGGATGAACCCTATTAAAAAACCGAAAAATTGAAAAATAATTGGTATGAGTTAGGCGTTCAATTTGTAGCACATAAACACTCTAGAAGGCACAATTCTTGATAGATTTTGACAAAACTTGGTGTGATTGTATGTAATGAACCTTAACGAAAATCAGAAGAAGCGAAATATATTATTGCTCCTGTTCTTAAAAATGCGTTCAAGTTTTAGCCTGTAAACACTCCAATATCTGGACAGATTCTGATGAAACTTGGTAATATTATTCAGTATTGCCTCAAACAGTTCAAGAGAAGTGTATGTCTGAAGGATGAATATTTCATACTGGTAATTGTTACTGCCAAATATTTTTATTTAAAATCAAAGCTGGCAGTGGGCGTATCTTTTAAATCAATACAGGCACATATTAATTTCTTTCTATTGTAAAGAGAATGACTAATTATTCTATCGAGAACACATTTTTTATTGCATCCACCATACTCCTATGAGCCTTAAATCCGAGTTATCCAGGAGCTCGTTAGTTTCGCACTATTTGGTAAGTCGGCGATTCAAAATAGTTGAAAACAATTTAGCAAAACACAAATTCCGCGGCCATGTTGGGGTCACCATTCTTTGGCACTGAAACTCTAATACTACTACACCAAATTGCCAGATAGCATTCTGAGTCGAAAATTATATTGAAAACCTTGCGAAAAAAACGGAAGTAAGATGTCCGAACTTTCGATGAACAATTTTATCTTGTGTCATACTTCAGTTTTCGAATGGCAAACAAAACCTCTGCGTGTTCACAGAAAATGAATCTATCAAGATTTGTACACGTCTTTAAGAATCTGTTTCTACTCCGGTTGAATTTAAACCTAACCGTTCTACAATTAATATCAAAAATTTCAATTTAGATGAAAAGCGTCGAGAATTATTACATATGTTTTGTTTGCGACCGAAACATGATACCGAAATGTCATAAAATAGAGAAATTATATTCCCAAAAAGTATGTCAGTTGCAACTAGCAGAATCATCCACTAGCTGATTTAGTTTTAACAATGGATAATGATTGACTGAATTAAGACCTTTTAGAATCCCACTTAATGAAAACAGTTCCATGGTTTTTGGGGGGGACAATTCAAGTTCAAAGTTTCAGGATGATAGTCAAAACAAAAATATCATGCACAGTGGTTTGAAAATTCTGTTACATTTTCAACAGTAAAATTGGATAAAAATTCAAAAGAGATGGGATCCACTAACACATTATCAATGACACTGGAATAGAATTAAAAGTAAATTTACCAACATTTTCATCCGACCCCAGTCGGCCATTCACAATCAAACAACCAATTGATTTACGCTAGACAAGTAGTTTTCTACCGAAGTTATTGACGACAACATCCCCGAAAAATCTATCTCTATAAGTTACAGACAAGTCACAACAATCAAGAATGTTGATCAGGTACAGTACTGGTCCTGCTATTCAGATCACCACAGACGATAATACTGCCCAACTTTTAGAATTCCAAACAGGTTTGTTGGAGCTCAATAAAAATGTCAAAATCACACCGACTGTGAAAAGAGCTGGATTAAGGAGGAATGAATGTTAACGAACATGATCACTAGAGATATTAGGTTGAGATACACTACTGACTTTGATTACACACAGACCCCAGGACCTTTTCAGTACCACAGATAGAGAATTTTCCATAGGATACTTAGCAAATACAGCTAGTTCTTCACATATTGCACCGCGTTTACCCAAATGGAATGCATCACCGCGATTTTGTCACTGCCCACCACGTTTCCGATAAGAGAAGAATGTCATACTTGATAATATGATTAAGAAAAGAGATATCATCAGCCAGTGATTTTAGGCCGTTAATGTTCCATACAGCAAATGACATCTTCTGGTTCACCCGTGGAATGTGCTAATCATTGCCACCCGACAACATCGTACCAGTTGAAGCTTCCCTATTATCGGTAGCGGATGTGACTGGTCCAACATGTCTTCGACTGTTTGTGAAGAAATCAGTTATCTTTGAGACGGGTGTTGATGTGGAAGATGGTCCAGTATTGAACGATAATTTGAAGGGACCAGGCATCACGTTTGAGACGGGGTTAGCCACTTGACTTGGCGCTCGGATATCACTTGAGTTAGCTTCCCTCAAGGGAATTTGATTTGGATGAGGCACTGAAAAGTCTAACAAAGGAACAACAAATTTGGCGGTCAGACTCAGATTCTATGGTTACTATCTTGTTCTGGGGGGTTTTTGATGGAGATCCTCCCATCATAAGTCTAACAGCTGTCAATCAGCTTCTCTTTATGGAGATCACGCACCCGTTTGATGATAATTGCGCGATTCCTAGTCAATGCCTCATTAACGAAAATCTTGGAATTTGTAACCTTTCAGATTCGACTTCTTACTAAATACCAATGCACTACATCTCACAATTATAGCACGTGGTCGATTTTGACTTCGATAAATATCGTATAAAGTGATATGTACATTGTAATGTTAACTACAGTGTCCATCTTATGATTACTAAAATAAAAGGCTGGGGACTTCAAAACAGATGTGAAAACTGACCCACTCTTTGTTTACGTTTGTCTCCAAAAAATTACCACGTCGATAATATTCACCAGATCCATCTACAAATTATGTCAGGACAGTGGAAATCTTATCGTAATGCACCTACTAGTATATCACTAATGAAAATAGTGAATATTGTAAAATCGATAAATGAGAATAAAAGTGTAATAAAAAATAGTGGTTTCATGTTCTGTGTATCCAGTAAAGTGTATTCCTTACATTCATAAACAATCGTACATTGACTTTTCAAGACATTTACGTGTCGTATTTATATTTATAATGGTCGTGATAGAATCATTGTTTCCTATTATTTCATCACCTATTTTTAACACATACATTTTCCTCAAAATCTAATTGTGGACAATTTGATTTTTATTGCGTCCCCCGGAATGATGTAGTATGGTGTTAATATTCATTTGAGGAAACAGATGGAATTTCATTAGGAATAAAAATATAATATATAAACAATATAAATTAATAACTCATTTAGACTAAGTTCACCAAGAGTTCAATATGCAGATACCATCATTAAACCATCATCGCCTTTATATGTTTTACTTATTGGATGTCATTATTGTCTTTCATTCTTGGTCATTGATTGTATGGTAGTTTAGCGTGAACAGAATTAAAAAAAAAATCATTTGCTTAACAATGCATGATGCTATTGCAATTTTTTTTACGATTGCGATGCCACGCGAAAAAGTATTCAATTCTTGAATATTTTAAACATCAGTTTTTCAAGTAACCCTTACCTCACACCTGCATTATTACATCTTGAAACCATATCTCTGAAAGCATTTTCATTTCCACTTCTAGTGACTAAGTTATAACTGACAGGCTGATACCGCTCCCACCACGGTCTGTATGGATTCATTACAACACGATTTTCATTTGGTGGTGATATCTATGATATAAAATTCAATATTATATTATCACGAAGAAAAATCATCATAGAGAAATTTTGGATTTTATGAAATATCAAATAAAAAAAACACGACATATAGTCTTTAGAAAGTTAAATACAAATACAATAAAAGATAATTTATTACAAGAGTTGAATTCACAAGAAAATAAACTTCATTGGCAAATTTTGAATTTGAAATCGAACGAGTTTTCAAGAACAAGGCCAATAACTCATACTTATTATTTGTCGATTTTTTGATTTTCAAAAGGGTTCATCATTGCGTGATTACAAACCACGATTCGTCAAACTAGTCACGAATTGTGCCTTCTAGAGTGCTTACGATCAATTGTGGCCAGACAGACGGATGGACATGATTGTTTGTCCATATCCGCCCATTTCATGTTGGCGTATAAAAAATGACCAATCTAATTAAAGTCTGACGACTTTTAGATGAAATTTCTCTCGGAGGTGGGCAGTGTACACTCATAGTAATAGCGAACCTAAAGATATTTCTCTACTACAGATTTAATAAGTAGAACCAAATGATTATTATATATATTGAGACAGGAAAAATATCTTTGTAAATATAATGTTTTAAAACAGATTGAACTCGCACGTGATCAACTGGAACCGACATATTGCCAAAAAAAAGAATTGTCAGCGAATATATAGATTTCAGTGCACTAAACAGGTTTCAAAATGAATTGATTTCTTTAATTTTAAAGCTACGAAACAGCCAATATAGCATCCATTTTCTCAGATCAGTTAGACCATACTTTTCTATATTCCTGATCTTGTACCACCTGAAATTCCTTCTTGATCATTCTGATTTTATTAATCGACAAATTAAGATTTTCTACCGACTGTACTTCCGAATCAACATTTTTACCAATAATACGACTTGTATCAGATAGGAATGGATTCTGATGTATGTAATTCGAACAACGATCTAATGCTCTGAAACCACAACAATAACCCCAGGAAAGCTTTGTTACGAAGAGTATTGTCCCTTTATGATGCAAAGTTGACAATTGTATACTTTGCGAGTTATTAAAAATTTCAAATACGATAGATAATTGTAAATCAAACCCGGGTGGGCGACGTCCACTCCATATATTTGTTATGTCTGCTATCTTGAGCACAAAATTAAATTATGTTCAAATTTTCAAGCGTCTACATTAATAAGATTATGAAAAAAATATTCGTTGTTGTATGTTTAAAGTTTGAGTTTATACGGCAAATCCAAATTACGCCAAGTTACTGTAGAGACGTCAAAAACATGTTGTCGTAAGTTAATAAGAACATGTGAAGAGCTCTTCAAAGTTAAAAATTGCGATTTTCAAACGCTTGGGAACCAGAAGTTAACATCGCTTGAAAAAATTAAATACATTTTGGATAGGTCTAGTCAGGGGCGACAACTTTTGTGCTGGTCACCAAAGGTCAAGGTCATGAGATACGGGCTTTGAAAATGTTGGTCAATATTGAAAATAATCAACCGGAAACAACTTAAAAGCACAATCGAATTAAATAATCGGCTCCTACACGATTGATAGGAATCGTCCACTGATAATATAGACATTAAAATCCTGAAAAATTGGATTTAACATGAATCCCAAAAGTGGTTTTATAGCAAATTTAGTCAGCTTATCTAATATTTCCGGGGCGAGCCTTATTATTTTATATCTTTCATGTTGCTAAAAGAATATTTCAAATATCTATAAAATTCTATGAAATTTCAATTGTCAATCTACTAACGACACGCTAAATAAGAGAGATGATCATGTCAGATAATGTGTTCTGACCAGAATTCTACTATACAAAAATATAATCAATTGCAAAACAACGCACTGCAAGAAAGCTTACACTTAAATATATCAAATAATAAAATATTTTTTATATTCAACTGCAACATCGTGAAATTCAACAATCTAAAATAAAGTGATAACGGAGGGGTAGTTACTCTGAACATCTCTAAAGTTTGTCATATCTTATTCCTAAAGAATAGATAATTTTACAATCTCATCAAAATATGTGTCATATATTTGAAATAAAAACATACAAAACTCTGTTTTCCACACAGAAACACATCAGAAGAAGTAATAGTGCTTACAGATTTACAGCAACTACTAAATTTCCAGTCCGCCATATTGGATATTCGTCACTGACATATTTTAGCGATTATAGGAATAAAAAGCATTTCTCCCCATTGTACACCTTAATATGTTAGATTGACATCTCAGGACCTCAATGGCACCAACTATTGCACTCATAATTCCAAAGGAGACCATTGGAAAAAATTGGCCATTTTTCAATATCCATATTTGATATTCGTCACTGGCCAAAGAAATGTTGACAACTATGTAATGATTCTATTCAGTACACGACTTTTTTGAGGTTTTATTTGAATAAGAAATTTTTGGTTTTTTGATTTAATTACAACCAATCCAAAAAATTAGTGTATCCATCGGCCACAAAAATTGACGAAGTGTCAATTGACCAATGCCGCATTTGAACATCCGGTTTTGAGGCTTAATTAGAGTTAAATTCCTTTGATAAGGAGCAATTATTGATTTATATTTCCGTTAGTTTCAGTGAATTTCCGGATTATGTAAATGAAGTAGGTCACGTTAGTAGAATATGAACTCATAGATTGGTCGCATTTTTTCCCCATTCCATTTCATTTCATTGGTAAAATGCGACCAATCTATGAGCTCCCCCAAAAAAAAGACCTAAATTCTCTACATTTCATAAATTCTTACAGCAAAACATTCTACATTTCAAAAAACATCCTACATTTCATAAAATTCTTACATTAAAAAAGACCAAAAAACACCTTCAATCAATTTCCTACATTCCATTAAAAAAGTATATTAAAAATACCCTTATATAACATAACATCCTTGTTTCGCTTAATAGCCTCGTTTTAAATAATGTTATTTTTAGTCTAGAAAAGGGAGATAACTTTTTTTTTTGGAAAAAACAATTTCTTCGTTACATTAACTCATTTATAAATAGGATGAGTTTAATTCTAAAACACGAACAACACAAATTCGAAGAGTATTCGGGCGACGGTATCTTTTCATCAATATTTTCTCTAGGATCAAAAATAATTCCAAAAGTAGCTAGCTTTGTCTCAAACAACAAATCACTCATTTCAACCGGAGCGAAAGCCGTCGGCTCAATCGTATAAGCGACGCAGTGAAACAATCTAACGAGTTGAAAGAATTACAGCTAATAAGAGAACTTCAAAACAGGAGATTAGATGAAAGGAAAGGAAGAGGTTTTAAATTTCGGGGAAGGGAGGGTTTGATTCTCCCAAATGTACAGGCCTAGCGTCTCCCACGCTCCAAAAACTTATTTCGGTTCAGGAAATATACAAAAATCATTGGGTTATCTTCCTGGATTTCCATGGGCGAAATATCCCGGAGAAAAACGTCTTCCCGGTCATAATTATACCGGTCCAGGTACTAGGTTAGATCTGCGATTAGACGAAAACGATAAACCCAAACCAGGGGAAGAACCAGTCAATAGAGTTGACGCCACTGCGCTTAAACACGATATTTTATACAGAAACAAAGACATAAACTTCAGACACGAAGCAGACAGACAAATGATAATCGAATTTGAAAATATTCCAAATCCAACTTTCAAATAGAGAATGCAAAGAGCATTAATCATTAAACTGTTAAAAGCAAAGATAAAATTGGGCATGGGATTAGCGGATGAAATTCATAAAGAATTTAGAAAAACTAAAATCTTTTTTAAAGTAAAAGTGTTTGAAAAAGATGAAATATGGTCAGCCGATTTAATTCATATGCCAGTCGAAAGAGGATTTAAATATTGCTTAACTTTTATAGATTTGTATACGAGATATGTATGGGTTATTCCTTTGAAAAACAAAGCGGGATTATCAGTCAAACACGCATTTGAAACGATTATGAAACAATCTAACCGACATCCAGAAAAACTGTGGGTAGATAAAGGAAGTGAATTTTATAACAAAATTATGAAATCTCTGGGATTTGAAGTTTACAGCACGCATAACGAAGGTAAAGCTGTAGTAATAGAAAGATTTAACAGGACTCTAAAAAATAAATTATTCAAAAAGTTCACGGAATTGAAATCTCAACAATGGCTTAAAATATTACCAGAGGTTGTAGATGAATACAATAACAAAATTCATTCATCTATAGGTGTTATACCAACAGAAGCCTCGAGTAATCCAAATATTATAAAATCAAATAACGAATTAATGAATTAATGAATTAATGGATCAAGACAAAGAACAAATCCATAGGAAGGTTTTATCAAAATGAACTTCAAAAAACCGACTTTTAAAAATAAATGAATTTCTCGAAGAGATGTAGACAAGCATTTTCGCTTTCTTAAATATACTTATTACTAGATAAAATAAGTAATGTGAAAAGATTCTTCAAACGTCAACTAAATAATAAAAAATTTGTTAATGATACTAAACTACAACAAGAGGTACAAAGATTAATAAGTTTTATTCAAAAAGAATTGGTCAACGTTGCGAATAAGTTACAAAATTTAATTTCATTAATATCTAAATTAGAGGATAAGATTGCAAAACAAAAATTAGACATTCAACAATTGATAGATAACATTCCAGATGAAAATGAAGATACGTTTCAACAGGAATTAAATACTCTGGAAACTAAACTTAACACTGATTACAAAACGAACTAACAAATATTAAGAAACAAATACAAAACGTAGATGATAGCGAAATCAAAACCTATATTCAACAACAAATACAAAACATAGATGATAGCGAAATCAAAACCCATATTCATCAACAAATACAGAACATTGATGATAGTGTTATTCAACAACAGATAACCACTATTAATAACCTAGTTTTAAAACAAGACAAAAATATAGTCGCATTAGAAAAAAAGTTTCTCAAGAAACTTCCATTTAGAAATTTGAGACGTGGCACTACTGATAATACTGATAAATCAAAAGACTATGAATAT